CACCCCACCCCACCCCCAGTATACGCGAACGGACTACTACCTTCAGTTGGACTCTGACTTATTTCGCCGACACGGCGGGAGAGTAAGGAACTCTTGGAAGAAACCTGTTCGTTGGTTTCCAACGACATCGATTTCCTCTCATACTTAATCCGTATTGGTCCCCGAGAACTCTCTCCAGGCGACGGACCCGGGATCATCCGTTGCCATGGTTACGCGCATCCCGCAGGGGAGAATGCAGAGGGCGCGCACGTCTCGTCGCCAGCGTTTTATTGAGCGCCATCTTGTGTTCGTGTGTTTCTTGCATGGCTCGACGGTCGGGCCATCATTCCGCCCGTTTTATCGTCTGTTAATCGCTGTGTGTGTGTGTGTGTGTGTGTGTGTTGTGCGAGCAAGCATGTTGCAGCTCGAATTTTGACTGTCGGCGTGTCTTGCGCAATGTTTTTGGCATGAACATCCACCTCCCATCTTTTATCTTACGTGCGTACGTGAGTTTTTGTCGTGCGGGTGGGTTTTTCTTACTCCCCCCTCTTACATTTATGAATAATGTATACTGTGATCGTACGTTCATTGTACTTTTGACACTTGTAAGATGTGTGTGCGCGCGCATGCGTGCGAGCGTGCGTGCGTGCGCATACGCGTGTGCGCGTGCGTGCGTGTGTGTGTGTGTGCGCGCGTGCGTGCGTGCGTGTGTGTGTGCGCGTGCGTGTGTACTGGATTATTATGCACCGTGAAGTATACTTACTATTCGTGACTCTCGTCATCATTGTCGCATGTTTTTTACGTGCGAAAGCACTTTTTTCTCGTCTACGGCTTTTTTCCGGCTACGGAAAATATTATTAGTAACGGAGATGTAATACATTTCTACAATTTATTACTACATATTATGTTTACATTATGTTTACATTTCTAGATTCGGAATGCGTGAGGGTACAATACGTGATACTTAATCGAACTTCGTGATATTTTATCCCAAAAAAAATCCGCGAAACTTTTACCGTTGGTCGCGCTCAGCCTCTTGTCGATGCAGGCGCCCTCTGGTGACGCCGACGTCGGGATTAGAGACGGTCGCTTAACGACGTTAGCTAGCGGGAAGGAATCACGGCATCTGGTAGTCTCCTCTCCCGGCGAGGGGAGAGGGAGATGGGAGGGGTGGGAGAGGGGGAGGGGGAGAGTCCGCCTTAAATAGGATGAACAAATATCGATATCCATATACGCGCGTGAAGTGCACTCACGGAATGGTAGCGTTATTGCATTAAATAATAATTATATATATAACATATTAAATTATTTTGACTTCTTCGGAATTTTCTTCAAACCCGCATCTCTAGCTTGCGCGTGATCATTTTCGCGAGGTGCCTCCCTCTAGTGGCGGCACGGGCGCGTCGGTGCATCTCAGCGCCCTCTATCCGCGTTACCACGCGTCGCCCCGGTGTGGTGGACAGACGTTTATGTTTGTATGTTTTGCTTTTTGCAGCTTATCACGCCAAAGTTTCCCGTAGTGGTAAAGATAGGAAGTGCTCACTCCGGCATGGGAAAGGTAACCATGGCTACCTAGCAAACAACAAACGTACCTGAATTAAGCATTCATATGTGTATGCGTGCGTGTATGCGTGCGTGTATGCGTGCCTGCATGAGTGTATGCGTGCGTGTATGCGTGCGTGTATGCGTGCCTGTGTGCACACGCAGATGCGATGCAGCGCGTGCGAACTGCTGATCTGCGCATCAATATTGGATTTACCACTCCCATCAAAACACTGGTTCTATCATTAAAAAAGAAGAAGCACACTCTAGGAGAAACTTGCGTTTGCAGGTGGCGTATGTGTGTGGTGGTAGAGTGGGTGTCCGGCATAACAATTCTAACAATGGATTGATGACAGGTGAAAATTTGCCCGGGCAAAGCGCCGGTGGCGACATCTGTTGCCAGACATCGACAGCTTCGTGCTACACCGGCTCCCATCTAATATACTGACAGCAGCTTCGACTTAGTAAATCTCACAGCTTACGGAGCAAGTAGTGCAGCCGTGTAGTAGTTCCCGCGCGGTGTCTACACGATTTTCTTTGCTTTTATCTAGAGCTTCTATCGATACTACACGGTCGCTATATTGGTCGCGTTTTGAGTAATCGGTCGTTTTTGCAATGTAGGTGAAAATGCGTGAAGCGACCAGAGCAACGACCTGCCAGGTTAAGTAGACTAGTGCTGCCACCTGCTTGCTTGTTATGTCGAGAACGCGATGGAACGCGCGTCGCTGCCCCACGTCGCCTCGCCGCCGCTAGGTGGCAGCACCTGGCGATGCGGGTCGATACACACTGATCTATGTATAAAAGTTAAAATATAGATTATTTAGAGTACATAGTTTATACATATATCAGTGTTCCTGCGTCGTCGCTGCGCCCTCTGTCGGCAGTTAGCGGTGATGCGTACGTTCGGCTCGTGGATCACGTGACACACGTCGGCGTGGCGCGTGACCATGGCAACCGTTCCATCTGGCGTTCTCTCTTTCTCTCTATCTCGCTCGCGCTCTCTCTCCATCTTTATCCTGTCTCGTAGAATTGCCTCTTGAAATTTTGTAATGATTCTAGTCTTTTTACCCTGCGTCTTTGTAATGATGCGTGCTTTTTACCCTGCGTGCGTGTGCGTATGCGCGTGCGTGTGCGTATGCGCGTGCGCGTGTGTGTGTGCGTGTGTGCGCGTGCGCGTGCGTGTGCTTTTCTACGTTATCTGCCTTCACCCAACCCGCCAGCAACCCATGAGCTTTGCATTGTCTGCTACGAATATAAATTGACCTTCCCGATAAGCCTTCTTACTCCCCCACCC